CCCCCTCTGCCGAAGCCCCCCGCCTTCCCTGCATTTTTCTCCCCCCTGCCGGAAGCTACCCTCTCCCCCCCTTTGCACAAAAGGGGAGGGGCGGCTTAGCTACCACCCCCCTCCCTTGAACTCCCCCTGCCGGACGATCCTCCCCCGTCGCAGTCGTCGTTGCCATCACCATCGCTCGACGTCTTTGTACGACGCCGTCGTCGTCCTCGTCGTCGTCGTCGCCGCCGTCGCCGTCATTGTTGCCGTCTTCGTATGACCTCGTCGTGGCCGTCACGACGAGGGCGAGGTCATACGAAGACGGCGACGGAAGACGGATGACGCACGGCCGACGACCGACGACGACGACGACCCAGGGTCCGAGAAAACGAGACTACGGCCCAGCGGCCGAGAAAACGAACAAGCGAGAAAACGAACCAGGGTCCGATAAAACAAGCCAAGGTACGAGAAAACGAGACCACGACCCAGGGGCAGAGAAAACGCGAAAAAGAACAAGGGTCAGAGAAAACGAGACCACGACCCAGGGGCCGACAAAACGAGACAACGAGAAAACAAACCAGTGCCCGAGAAAACGAAACCACGACCCAGGGGCCGAGAAAACGAGACAACGAGAAAACGAACCAGGGCCCGAGAAAGCGAGAACACGACAAAGGGGCCGAGAAAACGAGAAAACGAACCAGGGCCCGAGAAAACGAGACAAAAACCCAGGGCCCGAGAAAACGAGAAAACGAGACAATGAACCAGGGCCCGAGAAAACGAGATAACGACCCAGGGCGAAGAACACCAGAAAACGAGAAAACGAACCAAGGTCTGAGCAAACGAGACCACGACCCAGGCCGAGAAAACGCCAATCTCGGTCCGATGAAACGAGACCACGACCCTTGGGCAGAGAAAACAAGACAACGAGACTAAGACCCAGGGGCCGGGAAGACGAGAAAACGAAACAACGAACCAGCGTCCGAGACGACGAGAACACGACCAAGGGGCAGAGAAAACAAGGAAACGAGAACACGAACCAGGGTCAGAGACAACAAAGCCACGACCCAGGGGCCGAGAAAACAAAAAACGAGAAAACGAACCAGGGTCAGAGAAAACGAGACCACGACCCAGGGGACGAGAAAACGAGAAAACGATAAAACGCACCAGGGTCAGAGAAACAAAACCACGACCCAGAAGCCGAGAAAACGAGAGAACGAGACAACGAACCAGGGCCCGAGAAAACGAGACAAAAACCCAGGGGCCGAGAAAACGAGAAAACGAGACAATGAACCAGGGCCCGAGAAAACGAGATAACGACCCAGGGCGAAGAACACCAGAAAACGAGAAAACGAACCAAGGTCTGAGCAAACGAGACCACGACCCAGGCCCAGAAAACGCCAATCCCGGTCCGATGAAACGAGACCACGACCCTGGGGCAGAGAAAACAAGAAAACGAGACTAAGACCCAGGGGCCGAGAAGACGAGAAAACGAAACAACGAACCAGCGTCCGAGACGACGAGAACACGACCAAGGGGCAGAGAAAACAAGGCAACGAGAACACGAACCAGGGTCAGAGACAACAAAGCCACGACCCAGGGGCCGAGAAACAAAAAACGAGAAAACGAACCAGGGTCAGAGCAAACGAGACCACGACCCAGGGGACGAGAAAACGAGAAAACGATAAAACGCACCAAGGTCAGAGAAACAAAACCACGACCCAGAAGCCGAGAAAACGAGAGAACGAGACAACGAACCATGGTCCTAGAAAACCAAACCACCACCCAGGGGCAGAGGAAACGAGAAAACGAGAAAACAAACCAAGGCCCGAGACAACGAAACCACGACTCAGGGGCCGAGAAAACGGAAAAACGGGAAAACCAAACAAGGGTCCGAGAAAACGAGACCACGACCAAGGGGCAGAGAAAACGCGAAAACGAGAAAACGAACCAGGGTCCGAGAAAAATGGACCACAACCCAGAAGCCGAGAAAACAAGAAAACGAGAACACGAACCAGGGTCAGAGAAAACAAGACCACGACCCAGGGGACGATACAACAAGAAAACAAGAAAACAAGACAACGAATCAGGGTCAGAGAAATAGAGACCACGACCCGGGGGCCGAGAAAACGAGACAACAAGTCAACGAGCCAGCGCCCAAGAAAACGAGACAAAAGCACAGTGGCCAAACGAAACCACGACTCAGGGGCCGAGAAAACGGAAAAACGAGAAAACCAAACAAGGGTCCGAGAAAACGAGACCACGACCAAGGGGCAGAGCACACGAGAAAACGAGAAAACGAACCAAAATCCGAGCTAACGAAACCACGACCCAGCGGCCGTGAACACCAGAAAACGAGAAAACGAACCAGGGTCAGAAAGAACAAAACCACAATCCAGGGGCCGAGAAACGGAGAACACGAGAAGCCGAGCCAGGGTCCGAGAAAATGGGACCACGATCCAGGGGCCGAGAAAACACGAAACAAACCAGGGCCAGAGAAAACGAGAAAACGAACCAGGGGCCGAGAACATGAGATAACGACCAAACTGCCCAGGGCGCGAGGAACAATGAGACCACGACCCAGAAGCCGAGAAAACGAGAAAACGAGACAACGAACCAGAGTCCGAGAAAACGAGGCCGCGACCCAGGGGCCGAGAGCACGAGAAAACGAGAAGACGAACCAACGTACGAGCAAACGAGACCACGACCCAAGGACACAGAAAATGCGAGAACGAACCAGGGTCCAAGAGAACACGACCACGACCCAGAAGCCGAGAAAACGAGAAAACAAAAAAAGGAATCAGGGCCCGAGATAACGAGACTACGAACCAGGGGCCGAGAAAACAGCAAAACGAGAAAACGGATCAGGGTCAGAGAAAACGAGACCACGGCCCAGGGGCCGAGAAAGCAAAAAACGAGAAAACGAACCAGGCCCCAAAACACGAGACCACGACCCAGGGGACGAGAAAACGAGAAAACGCGAAAACGACCCACGACCGAGGGGCCGAGAAAACGAGAAACCGAATCAGGGTCTGACGAAACCACGACCCAAGGGCCGAGATCACCAGACAACGCTTGGTTCGAGAAAAAGAAACCACGACCCAGGAGCCGAGAAAACGAGGAAACGAGAAAACGAACCAGGGTCAGAGAAAACCAGACCACCACCCGGGGGCCGAGAAAACGAGAAAACGAGAACACTAACCAAGGTCAGAGAAAACGAGACCGCGAGCCAGGTGCCGCAAACACGAGAAAACAAGAAAACGAACCGGGGGCCGAGAAAACGGGAAAACTACAAAAAGGAATCAGGGCACGAGAAAGCGAGACTACGAACCGGGGGCCGAGAAAACAAGAAAACAAGAAAACGAACCAGGGGCCGACGTTGTTATCCAATGCGTTCTCTAGCGCTGCGGCGCGCACCTGTCTGCAGGGACTCAGCCATTACGCCATGACCCCGGAAGGTAGGGGGGGATAGCTTCGGAAGCCCCCGCCCCTTTGCAAAGGAGGGTGGAGAGGGGGCAGCTTGAAGCCGCCCCCCCCATGTGTCTAGACCAACAACCAAAGGAGAGGGGGGGTAGCTTCCAAAGCCCCCCAACCTTTGAAAGGGAAGCCTGGGCTCACCTTCTGCTCCGGAGAAGGGAGGGAGGGGGGGGGTAGCTTCAAAGCCCCCTCCCCCTTTAGTCAGGGCCCCCCTAGCTTAGAAACCCTTGCAGAAGGGAAGGGGGGGGGGTAGCTTCGGAAGCTCCCCCCCTTTTTGGAAGGGAGGGCGGGGGTAGCTTGACGCTGGGACCCCCCGTTCCTTATTCCCGGCGCTGCGGGCGCGCTCTTTCACATGTCTGGCAGCAAGAACACAATGGCACATGGCAACAACGCTGTTCCCGCATAATGGCTGCAACCCGCTCACTCAGGATCACTACTGCGCAATCCTGGTTTACCACAGTGCGAACTGACAAATTGAATGTGGCGATGAATCCCATTTGAAAACCTCCTGCAATCAGGCGACAGTCAAAATGCCGTACCGGCGCCTCCACCCAGTCAAGAAATGCTTCGCCCTCGAAAACGGCTGATTTTTGTTAGCGCTCCAAGAAGCCAGCTTGAATTCGAAGTCTTCCCTACTGATGGCAAGCATGCGCCCATGCAAACGTGATCCAGCTGTCCCCCGGGATGCCGCCCACAGAAAAATCACTAGCCGAGGTCATGTGACGGATGCGTATGCACAGAACCAGCAGATCAACAGATACAGGAGAAGTCAGCAACACCATTCACTAGTGGCACAGCGCGGCGAGTGGGCGAACAGGAGCTTAAGCTTCGACCTTGAGCCGAAATTGCGTTCAAAGCGGGGCGCCTGCCTCCCAAGGCGGCGAACCCCGTAGTGACAAGGAGTGTTTCTGAGGACTCTTAAGGAGGAAGCGTGGGACGGGAGACCGTACCGCAGCAGCGTGACGGCATCAAGGGTTTAATGTCGTCCTCCTTATTATCCTCCTCGTTCTCATCGTCTTCGGCATCTTCCTTATCCTCATGTTCCTGGGTATCCTCATCATTGTAGTCCTGCCCTTCTTCTTCTTCTGGTTCCTCCACCCCTCCCTCTCCCCATCCATTTCCTCCTCCTCCTCCTCCTCCTCCTCCTCCTCGTCATCATCATCATCATCATCATCATCATCATCATCATCATCATCATCATCATCATCATCATCATCATCATCATCATCATCATCATCATCATCATCATCATCATCATCATCATCATCATCATCATCATCATCCATCATCATCATCATCATCATCCATCCTCGTCCCTCTCGTCCTCCTCCTCCTCCTCCTTCTCCTCCTCCTCCTCCTCCTTCTCCTCCTCCTCCTCCTCCGCCTCCTTCTCCTCCTCCTCCTCCTCCTCCTCCTCATCCTCCTCCTCCTCCTCCTCCTCCTCCTCCTCGTCTTAGGCATCCTCTTGACGTCATTGACGTCGTCATCGTCGTCGCCGTCGTCGTCGTCGTCGTCGTCGCAACAGGGGACCGAGACCCCAGCACAGGCGCCTGGTCCGCCCCGAGGGCGAGCACGAGCTCCTCGCAGAAGTGGATGCAGTTGCGGTTCAGCAGGTCGTAGCTGCCCCCCGGCCTGGGACGGTGGCGTGGTTCCGGACGGCACTGGGGAGCCCCGGAGCGGCCCAAGAGGCGCCCAAGACGGCCCACGAGGGACCGAGAAGAGCCTCAAGAGGGGCCCAAGAGAGGGGGAACTCGAACTGACACGTTGAGCTCTCCGCCCCAAGAAGACCCCCGAGACCGCCAGCAGGCGCCCCACAGACCCCCAGGAGGCTCCAAGAGGCCCCCCAGAGGCCGAGCAGATGCCCCCAATCGCCCCTTTTCAAACGTTTCCTAAGGGGCAAAAGGCCTCACCGGTGGACTTCGTTTCTCCTCTCGGGGTTGGCAGGGTGGCGTAAGCCACTTGAATACAGTGGGGGCGTTGACCTAAGGAACCCTAAATAAGGAACGAGGCCCCTTTTTTCCATAAGTTGACCTTCGATTTCCCATCGAAAACCTGAGGAACGCCTGAGGCAAGCTGTGAAACACTTAAGGAACGCGGAGCCCCTCCCCAACGAAAAGGGTTCCTTCTTCAGGGACCCGACGGTAAACGACCGCTGGCCCAACAAAAACATGACTGCCCCAGTAGCACATGAGGTGTCAACTCTCTGTCACTCTATTGATCAGGATGGGCCAGATCTAATGCGCAGAGCGTGGGGGGGCTTGGAAGCGGCGTGCCGCTCCTTGACAAAAACGTTGCCCCGACTTGTGGCCGCCGCGATCTCCGCGGCGACCTCCAAAACCGACCCCTTGTTATCATTCGTGGTAGGTGGCCCCCCTCCATCTCGCCCGCCACGGGCACACCAGCAGATGGCAACAATGATGCAATATGGCAACAATGATGCAGTATCAGCAGCGGCAGAGTGAAAGCGAAACGATGTAATAAAATCGCTCTGGCGACGGAGGGCGCCTTTCTGGGCAAAAAGGGGACTGACCGGGACTTCAATTGGGCCATGATCGCGCACGCGCACGTTTGTTCTAGAGGAAAGAGAACTATGCACATACACCGATTCTGGCCAAGACCGTCCTGAGCCCAGGATCGGTGCACACGCACTCCTGCATTGGTCACGAAGGCGCCAGGAAGGCATATGCACCGATCCTGGGCCAAGGATGGGCCTGGCCGAGATCAGTGCATGCGCATTGTTCTCTTCCACCGATGGTCCCAGAAGCGAAGGCCGCTCCGGGGCCCTATTGGCTTGGCCAACGTCGGCACGCTCCCACCCACGCGCCGACCATGGCATATTCAATTAGCTTAGACTCGACCGACCCGCCACCGTGCCATGTGCACGTTGAGGCGTGGGGGAGTGCCAAGGGTTGTCTGGCGCAATGGTTTTTGCATTCAACTTAAGCCCCCCCCCGCTACTAGCACTCCCTGCATGCATCGTCACCCTCAACCGAAGCTTCCTGCGCCACGATCCCTTGCAGAAACAAAAAATTGATCCGCGCCCCGAGTTTCTGAGACAACCAAGGCAAGCAACCAAGGCCGCCAAGATGGCCCAAGATGCCTCGAAGACGGCCCAATATGGTCCCAAGGCGACCCAAGGTGTCTTCAAGACGGCGCAGGACGCCTCCAAGCACGCTCAAGAAGGCCACAAGAGGTCCTCCAATTGTATTGAATGCGCATTGATTTTTGCAAGATGTTCGCCTTCTCGCCTTCCCAGGCTTCCATCAGCCCAAGATGGCCCAAGAAGCCTCCAAGATGGGCTCAAGAGGCCCCCATGAGACTCCCAAAATGACCCAAGAGGACCCCGTGATGGCCCAAGAGGCCTCCAAGACGGCCCTAAACTGGCTGTAGAGGGCCTCTGGAGGGAGCCAATACAGCCTCAGAAGGCCCCGCGACGGCCCAAGACGCCGCCAAGATGGCCTCACGACGGCCCCATGACACCCTCCATACGGCCAAGAGAGCCCTAGACGGCCAAAGAGAGCCCCAAGAGTGTCCCACGACTGTCCAGGAGGGTCCCAAGACGGCCCAAGGGGGTACCATGGGACCCCCAAGACTGCTCCGCAGGAGCTCCGACCAGCACCGAAACAACCCAAATGAGGTCCATGACCGCTCCTCGAGAAAAAGAACAGCAAACCGTGTCACAAGTGACCGGCATCCACTTCTTCTTCCTCCTCCTCCTCCTCGTGATCATCTTCATCCTCCTCCTCATCCTCCCCCTCCACCTCCTCCTACATACTCCTCATCCTCATCCTCATCCTCATCCTCCTCCGCATCATCATCATCAGCAGCATCGTCAACCTAAGCATCATAATAATCATCATCATCAGCACCATCACCATCATCTTCATCATCATCATCATCATCTTCATCATCATCATCAGCATCAGCATCAGCATAATCTGCAGCAGCAGCAGCACCATCAACATCATCATCATCATCAGCATCATCAGCAGCAACATCAGCATCAACAGCATCATCAGCATCATCAGCATCAGCATCAGCAGCATCAGCATCATCAGCATCATCAGCATCATCGTCGTCGTCGACAGCATCATCCTCAGAATTAGCATCATCAGCATCATCAGCATCATCAGCATCAGCATCAGCATCATCAGCATCATCAGCATCATCAGCATCATCAGCATCATCGTCGTCGTCGACAGCATCATCATCATCATCAGAATTAGCATCATCAGCATCATCAGCATCATCGGCATCATCATAGTCATCAGCATCCGCATCCGCATCAGCATCAGCATCATCAGCATCATCATCAGCATCGTCATCAGCATCACCGTCGTCACCATCATCAGCAGCATCGCCATCATCACCGTCATAGTAACCAGCATGAACAGCATCATCATATGCATCATCATGGGCATATTCATCAGCGTCATCGTCATCATCAGCAGCACCATGACCATCAGCACCAGCAGCATACTCACCAGCATCGTCATCATCAGCATCATCAGCATCGTCAGCATCGTCATCATCATCACCATCAGAAGTATCATCAACGACCACATTCATTGCAAGCTTGTTCACTTTCATATGCTCGCGTATCACCCACCATGTACATCCCCGAACCTCGATACTCGCCCTCATCGTTGTCGATCGCACACACCCCTTGGGGGTAGATCGTCCTGACCTGCCACGTGCAGTTGGCGCAGCTCCTGAAACAGGGGGTGGGGCCGGAGGAGGGAAGAGGCAAGGGGGGAGGGAGAAGGATGGAGCACGAGAGGGAGAAAGAGAGTTGCAGGAGGGTTGGGCGGGCGGACGCTAACAGGCAGGCTGGACCCAGACGGCCGAGTCGAGCGGGCGGGTCGACGAAGCGTCAATCAAGCATGAATCGCGCGAGGAACGTTCGAGCGATAGCGCGATTCCCGAGTAGATCGCGAACAAAAAGTCCACAGCGAGAGCGTGATTCCCGAGTGTTGGGTGCGCGGCGCCGCAATACATTGCGAGGAACTGCCACGCGGTAGCGAGATTCTTGCATAAATTGTGAGGAATTCCCGCACGACAGCACAAGTTTGAATACATGTGAGGAAGTATCAAGCGGGCACCGCTGTTGCGGCAAATTGGGGGCCAAAGACGCAATCTGAGGCGCAAGAGTTTGCCTGGTAAAAGGCCAAGTGCGAGCCCCAGGAAGAGCACCTTCATTGAAAAACGCAGTGGGCGTTGGGGGGGATCGATAAGAAGTATCCGTTAGAAATGAGAACTCAGCATCAACAGCACCATCAGCATCATCATCATCATCATCATCATCATCATCATCATCATCAGCATCATCATCATCATCATCATCATCATCATCATCATCATCATCATCACCATCATCATCAGTAGCAGCAGCATCACATCATCCTCATCGGTAGCAGCATCAGCATCAGCATCAGCATCAGCGTCAGCTTCATCGTCGTTCTCCTAATCATCATCATCATCATCAGCATCATCATCATCATCATCATCATCAGCATCATCATCATCATCGCCAGCATCATCACCACCACCATCCTCATCACCATGATCAGCCACATCAGCAGTAGCAGCAACATCATGATCATCATCGTCCCTGTCCTCCTCATCCTTCTCCTCCTCCTCATCATCATCATCACCATCATCATGTCATTCATCCCCACCGTCCGCCACAATTATCCTCACCATCTCCGTATCCTCTTCATCATCTCATCGTCATCGTCCTCATCAGCGTCCTCATTAAACTGCTGGACTGGCACGGTGGCAGGGCTTGCCGCAGGCAGCTGGATATTTCGCTCGGTGCCCACTTAGACCTTGAGGTGAGGCGGCGGAGGAGGAGGGAGGAGGCTCGAGGGTTGAGGGGTTGAGGCTGACGGGTAGAAGTCCTCGGGCGTTTTGTTACACGTTTCGGGTCTTGGAAGCTTCTCGTGGCCACGGCACGATCAGCGCCGGAGTTTTAGCCATAACACCTCCCTGACAGGTCCAGGCGGGCGACTTTGCAGGGTTCTCGCAGTTTCGGAGCTGAGGGTCCCTCGTCACCACGGCTGGCTCCGCCTCCAAATCCTGGTCAAAACGCGCCCGCGGACAGATCGGGTGATGGGACTTTGAGGGAGGGGGGAAGGACGGATTCAAGCTAGGGATCTAACCAGAGCAACTCCCTTGCGGGACAGGGGCCCCAGAGCCCTTGTGACCACGTCTGGGCGCATCTCGAAACACTGGCCAGGATGCTATGGACGGGAGGTCTGGAGATCCGCGTCGAAAGACAACTGATGGGAGGGCCCGGACCCCGACGCGCCGCGGAGCAGGTCAAAAGATGGCACGGAGTTGTTGACTTCGGCGTCCGAGGGGCCGCTTTCGGCCCCAAGGGCCATCACGAGCGGTCCCTGACGGGAATATCGGCACGCCCAGGGTGGAGGTGTGAGGCGGCGCAAGCCTTTTCACAAGGCGGCGGGGGGCTTCTCAGAAGCAGCAGAATGGAGCCTTCTGAGAAGCCGCCTGTGTCTCTGAAAGGCTTCCCAGAAGGCCAGAAGCCTTCTGGGCCTTCTGAGAAGGCCCGCCTCCTCTGCCCTCCCCCCTGCGCTCGCCGCCAAAAACAGTTGCCCCGGGGGTGGAATCGAGAGCTGAAGCGCATTCGTCTGAAGGGCACGACGTCGGAGGTGCCTGGGCATCCGCTACAGATGGGCTCATGCACGCCGACTTTTGAGGGGGCACGGGCCCTGCAGGATGCCACCTCCTGGCCAGGCCACGACGCCAGATCCGCAAACGGCCATCGCGATGCCAGAAGTCAGCGGCGCGCACAAGGGGGTAGGGGGAGGGGGGAACGGGGAGACCAACAGGCACCGATACTGCTACTCCCCCTGACCTCTCCCGCGGTGCGTTCTGACCAGGACTTCGAGGCGAATCTGGCGGTGTCGAAGAGGGAGGCCCGGGAGGCCAAAGAAGGGGAGAACGGCCGAAGTGTAGAGGTATGGGTACCTTTGCCTCCTCGGAGGGAATGCTTCTCAGAAGGAGGCTGCTTCTCAGAAGGCGCCGGCCCTGCGTCTACAGACAAGGCCCCGCGCCTTCCGAGAAGCAGGGGCGCTGCTGAGGGGCCTCCCGCCCTTCTCCCTCCCCCCCCCCCCTCGGCGCGTGGCCGAGCAAGGTTCGCAGGAGAAGGAATGAAGGGGGCGCTTCTGACCGCGAGGAGCCTCGGCCACGCACAGGTCCCGGCGGCCCAGAGTTAAGTCGGGGAATATTCCAAAAAAGTCAAAAGAAATAGTATGGGGACGATGATTTGTGCATTTCTGGGCACTGAATTTGCATGCCTGGGATATTTTTTCCTGTCAAAATCCCCCTGTGGGGGGGGGGACAGGCTCGACCGAAGCCCAGATCTAAGGAGCGGCCAGAGAAAACCAGAGCCCCTCGTTGGAACCCGTTGTGGTCCCTGTAGGTCAGCTCCTCGGCCGCACTCGTCAGCACGAGGTGGGCCCGTGGGGGGGGCGGGGTGGGGGGGCGCATGCTCTGCTCCCTCCAGCGGGCCACTTCGCCGCGAGCTTGCCCTTGATGAGGTACCTGCGGCTGGCGGAAGAATCCCACAAACTGGCGCAGAACGGGGGGAGGAGGAAGAGAAGGAGGAGGAGGAGGAGGGGCAGGAGGAGGAGGAGGCGGAGGAGCAGGAGAAGGAGCAGGAGGAGGAGGAGACAGCATGAGGCCGGTGAAAGCGGAGGGGGCAGGATGGTGATGGAAGGGAGAAGACCGGATGGAGGAGGGATGAGGAGGAGGAGGAGGAGGAGGAGGAGGAGGAGGAGAAGGAGGAGGAGAAAGGAGGAGGAGGATGAGGAGGAGGGAGCAGGCAGAAGAGGGGGCACAGAAGTGTCAGGACAGTGGAGGCGGGAGGGGAGGAAAGAGGAAGGAGGAAGGAGAGTCGGTACAAACCTCGGACGGCGTGGCCCGAAAGCTTGAAAGACCAAGACTCCCACGTGATCCCAAATGCAGCCGAACTGCCGAGACCTCCAGGGCACGCCCTGCCCGATGCGGTAGGCGTGCGAGGTTTGACCCTGCGCACCTGACCTCCCACTCCTTGAGCGAGGTGGTCCCGAGGTTCAGAGACTGCCTGAAGACGTGCACGGGGTGGTGCCGCGGCCGCAGGCTCTTGCAGACGCCACAGGCCTGGGGATTCGGAGTGCGGTAGAAAGACCACTCCTCTCGGCAGTTCAAAGATGGGCCCCTGCGGGGTGGAGCCCCGAGGACGAAAACCTCAAGCAAAGAAGGTTCGACATGTGGTCCGTTTCCTATCGCTGCTGCTCCATACCTCAGGGCCCCATCTTTGAACCGCCGATCCTCCCCGTACACCTCCACGGCGGCATGGAATGCCCCCATGGTGCTGATGACGGTGTTGCACAATACCTGATTGGGGATGGACAGGGCGCCCGCGAGGTCGAACACGTTGAGAAAGACCGTGTGGGGCGTCGCGCAATGGGCCGCGAACTGAAAGTGGGTGATCTGTGCAAGCTCGGCATCATCCGCGGCCTGGCTTCGGGCGCCGCTTCCGTATTCCTATCGCAATACCATGTGTGTCGCTCGTTTATTGTCATATGGCGGGTCCCGGGGGTCCTAGATCCCCCAAAAAGTCCTTCATTGGGGGTGTACCTTGTATTTCCGCAGGCTTCCTCGGGGATCTTCTGACCCGGGTCAATCCAGACCCGGGTCAGCAGGAAACCAAAACCTGCCGGGTCCGCCACTAGGCGCGGCCGCTCCGCGGCCACGAGCGGCTCGCTACCCCGGGCCAGCCAGAGGGGCTCTTCGCAGGATCCTGCAGGATCCGGTGCCCTGCCTGACCCCCGTCTGCACTAACCCCGGCCTCGAGGCTCCCGACGCCCCCCGGCGGAGCCCCTCCCCAAAAAGTCCTCCCAAAAAGTCCCCCCTCCCAAAAAAGTCCTCCCTCCCAAAAAGTCCTCCCAAGAAGCCCTCCCAAAAAGGCCGGGGGTCCTGGATCCCCCGAATTAAGTCCTCCCTTGGGGGTGTATGTTTTATTTCCGCCGGCGTCCGCCGGAGGAGCCCCTCCCGGTTGGCTTTCACCAGCTTCGGCCTATACCTTCCGCCGCCTTCAGCGCCGAGGAAGAGATGGTCAGCTCCTTCGGTCCTCGGAGGCGAGGCCCCTTCTGGAGAGCGCCCCCTTCTGTCTCCCGACCATGGGCCTGGCTCCGGGCGTCCCGGAAGGTGAGCTCCAGCTCCACGGCCGCGCCCACGGTCCCCATCATGTGC